CCCACGCGATTCTGAAATTTTAGCTTTGCGTTCTTCAATACATATGTTTTAACAGTTTGGGATAGGGCTTCGGCCCAGGAACCCATTTCTTGTGGCCTTCGGATAGCAAAGCATCATAGAACCATTGGACCATAACTGACGCTGGATGAACTGCATGGTCGGCGCCCTTTTTTAACGGCGATTCATTATAACATTTGCTGTGATATGATGTTCATGCCGATTGGAAAGTAACAAAATGAAGGAGTATCTATTTCAGAGATGAATCCAGACTTTCACTTGTCCCGTACTTCCGCCGTATACATGGGTTGAGGCAGACAGACCAGTGCCGCCGTATGTCTGTATAGAGCTGCATACTTTAATAACGTCCTGCGTTATCGTAGAGGCGCAGTTGTGTATGAGACAAAACCAGTTTTAGTGATCCTGCACAGGTGCATACTGTCGAGCTTCCCGAGGGTTAGTTTTGAACATAACAATAGCGCCCTCACGCATCAGACGCCACTACGGGATTTCTACACTACATGGCAACCTTCCTATGGCCATCTGATCGCTCGACGCTTTTCCCATTGGGACTTGGTCGGCCAACGGAAGCGTAGGTAACAAGCCACGTATTTACACGGAATCTGGCGGGACATCCTTCTGTATTCGTCCACCCCAGACCGCGTTTCTTTATGCATCCAAAGCCATACCCATATTAATCTGTAACGCTTTTTTACATTGGTTTTACTCTGAGCATGGAATTTTCCCCTTTCCTATTTAGTGTATGTTGGGATAGATACATCATAAATGCATGTAGATGCTAGTCTATTTTATTGTTTATTCCATAAATAACCGTCAATCTGTTATTAAAAGTTAGAATTTTTTAATGGCTCACAAACAGTTGCAGATAGCACCATTGACAGCGAAATAAATGTAAACGATCATAGTCGTTAGCTCACAAACAGTAGCAGACAGCACCACTAACAGCGAAAGAAATATAAATGACCATAAAAAATAAATCATATCAGCATAAAATCAACCATAACACATCTTATTCTGTTGTGATAATTTTGAAAGACTAAACATTTATATAAATACAGAAATTTAAAGATATTTTTAAAAACTTATGGGGATATGGACGAATTGGAGTATCAGTGTACGGTTTGCTTTTAAATGCTTATTGCTGATTTTTGTTCGGCGTAAGGTGCATTTTAGCTCAACTCGTCATCGGTAATTAGACCTGCATGTTTAATATCTAAAAAAGATGAAATTTTAAATTCTTAGATAAAAGACGTGCAATTGAAAGGGCATTATAGACGGTTACATTATTAACAGTATTGTAAACTGTTCGCAAATATAAATGATAAGTACCGAATAGACTTAATTTTTCTCTCTCTTTTCTTTTAGCGTGACACACACAGCGTTATTTAGCTAGGCAAATTTTAACTAAAATGTTCTCTTATTCTTTAAGGAAAGATCTGCCTTTATGATAAGTGCAACCTGCATTCTAGTACACCATTTTCATACCATAAGGTTATTAATTCTAATAATATAATTCCGCAATCAAATAAATATAATTGTTACATAATGTCTGTGCAAAAAATAAAAAATACAATTAAGTATAATCACAAAATGAATATAAAATTTGTTTTCATGCAAGAAAATCGAAAACGCAACTCACGTGCAACGGCACGAAAGGCAATTGATACAAACGACGTCACATTTTGCTGAGTAAGATGAGGTGGCATATAAATTTCTTCAATTTATTTTGCGCAAAATTAAAATTCTAATGATATCTGATACAAATTATTTTCAACTTCCCCGTACTAGTTTGTTGCCATTTGGCGAATAATAATGTACAATTTTTCTTTAAAACTTAAATAGTCTATTAATGATTAGCAAGCAAACTAAGCGATTTAAGAACAATAAATGCAGTTCTTTATCTACTTTATTGATTGCCAGCTGAATCCAGGAAATTACAGTAGGTGGTTTTATCGAAAACATTACATATTTTCTTTCTTTTGTAGTAACTGTTTAGGTGGTTGCCTCAGCATAGGCCACCAACTTGAAAAGTGAAACGGACAACAAAAATGATTCATGATTCACAGGATTTTTCTCGCGTAAGCTATTCCCCACCGAACAAAAATACATCACATATAACAGAGATTTATTAGCTGTTTATGCAGCTATAAAATATTTCAGGCATAATCTTGAAGGTCAACACTTCACTATATTTACTGATCACTGACCTCTAACTTATGCATTCACATCAAAATCAAATTCTGCTTCTCCGAGACAATTTCGTCATTTAAATTACATAGCTCAGTTCAACACACATATTCAGCATATATCAGGCTCCAGCAATGTTGTCGCAGATACTCTCTCGCGTATTCAAGGCATCGATGCCAATGCACCGCTGGATTTCACATTTATTGCCCACTCGCAAGCCACCGATGAGGAGCTAAAACGTCTGAGTGAAGACTCAAACTGCTCAATGAAATTACAGTCATTACAACTTACTCGAGATCTCCAACTATTGTGCGATACCTCTAACAACAGACTTCGACCTTATGTACCACTTGACTTCAGAAAAAAAAGTTTTTGACTGTATCGGCAACCTATCGCACCCAGGTATCCGAGCTTTCAAAAAGCTCATACAAGAAAGATTCGTTTGGCAATCCATGCTAAAGGACATTGTCAATTGGAATCGTTCCTGCATCATGTGCCAACGTTCGAAACTTACCCGGCACACACATAGTCCTTTGGAAAAATCCGAACGATTCGACCATGTTCATATAGACATCGTCGGTCCTCTTCCACCATCTGACGGTTATCGATATCTACTCACCTGCGTTGACAGATTTACTAGTTGGCCGGAAGCTTTTCCCATTCAGGACATCTCTGCTGACTCTGTGGCTCGACAATTCATCTCCGGTTGGATTGCACGATTTGGTGTACCATCCATTGTGACTACTGATCAAGGTCGACAAATCCACTCCCACCTTTTCGCTTCTCTGACATCCATGCTTGGAATACGCCGAATTTGCACTTCGCCATACCATCCTTCCGCCAACGGCTTAGTGGAACGTTTCCACCGCAACCTAAAAGCAGCTCTAAAGTGCCATAATGACACCCGTTGGACTACATCACTCCCTCTTGTGCTTCTTGGTTTACGTTCTTCCTTCAAGCAAGACCTCGCAGGTACATCCGCTGAACTTGTCTACTTCACAGCCCTTCGATTACCATCTGAGTTCTTTCAGCTATCCTCTGCTACAGTCGATCCAGCATCTTTTCTCCAGACTTTCCGAGAGGCGATGAAGAAGCTGACTCCGGCTCCTACATCATGACACAACAAATCCACCCCATTTGTACACCACGCACTGAGCACTTGCACTCACGTGTTTGTGCGAAACGACGCAGTAAAACCACCACTCACTCCTCCATACGATGGACCCTTCAAGGTCTGTGCACGTAACAATAAACATTTCACCGTTCTTGTACGCGACAAAGAAACCGTTCTGGAAATAGGTAGACTGAAACCTGCTGTCTTCGAAGCTTCAAACACTCAGATTTCTGTGACCAGCGATCCTCCTGCTTCCCCGACCCAACTGTTTCTCAAGATGCTCCTCCTTCGATCGACCATACGCTTCCTCCCAGTGCTCCACCAGCTGTCACACGATCGGGAAGACGTGTGCGCTTCAACAGCAGATATTTGTGAACTGATATTATCATCGTACCTTTGGTACTCGGGGGGGGGCGATACTGTGGAGAACTTATTATTATTATTTGTTCACTGGCCCGAGAGAGGGCGCTACCAGCTTTCTCCTTCTCCACTCTCAGGCATATCTGAAGATATGTTTTGTTTTGAAAAATTTTGTGATTTATCGCTGAATTTTATGTGGCGTAACTACGACCAAAGTGTTGCTTAATAATAAAAAATTAAAAGCCAGAAAAGTGCTGGGTCAGCAGAAGTGAGTCCATGAATAGACACATAAACTGCGAGTTCAAGGAGAGTATAAAAGACCGGTAAGAAATGTTTTGTGCAAATTTAAGAATTGAATCATTTTAGATTACTTTCATCATCACCATCTTTATCTTGTTATTCTTTTTAATATTATTGTGTATGTTCTTTATTTTTTAATTTTAGAACTTCTAGCTGATAATCAAGGGATGATTTGTGTGTTGTTGTTACTCATCCTAACTAGTTAGCCACTAGGCTAGACCACATCCATGAGTCCAAGAACCATCAATATATTCAAAACGAAAGTAAATCTGTTCATTAGAACTCTTTTACAAGTCCCAAACAGGTGAGAAGGTGTCCTGGAGTGAAATGTTCGGTATCGCATTTTCTTTAAATGGGGTGGTTCAAATTTAAGGCATTTCAGGTGTCTACTTAAGTGCCTCGTCAAAGTAGTCTGCTCAGCCCAAATATCACCAAAAGAAATAGCATTCTTGGCTGTCTGCCAAAGTACCAGTCATGAGTCGGAGGGTAATGTCAGGAAGAAGCAACAGTAGATTTAACTCTCAATGATGCTTGGCCTTCACAGGTTTTAGCTGACTTCGATTATTTTTACTTTTTATGGATGAATTTTCAATCTAAATTTTAACTTTATCAGTTTATTTTTATTAATATTTAAAAATTTATTCCAATTTCCTTAAATTTATTTTTAATTTAAAGCATCCCTAAAGACTCATCCATTTTCGATGTTATTATTGACACCTTATTTGTTACGCCTGAAGTGGTACTAGAATTCTTTAGTAACATTTTAGGTACTAAGTTTTGTTTTGTTTAAAAATTTCTATTTTGTTTAACATTTCTTGCCCTTACCTATTAACTTTTAGCTCATTTTAATTTGCGAGACTTTACTTTGAAGTTTAGATGAAGTAAAAGTGATTTTACCCTTCATAATGTTTTAAAGAAAGTGTTAAGTACGCTTTTCATTGTATTTTCCTAATTTGTTTACTCCTGCTCTGTATGTAGCTTGACTGAGGAATTTTTGAAAAATATGAAGGACTTTTCGCTCTCTTGAAAGGAATTTTGGTTTCCTAAAATTTGGCAACAGTGTTTCTAGGTTTTCGAGGCGTCGAGACATTTAATTCAGGCGCTTAACTTGTTGTCGTTTATCTAGATTTTGACATAAGTGGATGAAACATACAAATTTATTGTTAGCAGTTAAAAAAAAAAAAAGAGTGAAAAGTATCATGTAATTCCCTAAATAGAATTTAGAATTTCCATTTCCTCTTCACATTCTAAATTCTTTTGCAGTAACTGGACGTCTCTCCGAAAAAAGTAATGGTTACAGATATTTACATGAAAAATAAAAAAGATAAGGGGCATTTGCATTTGAAAGGGAAAGTTGCATTGTTGTTCAAGAAGTTGTCATCTGTAAGCTATAGTATTTCTTACTGCATGATTTTCTTGTCTGACTTGCATGTCTTATTTGCATTTCAATCTAATGAAATTGAAGTGTATTTCATTTAACTACACTTTTCATTTATATACAAGATAGAAATGGTTTAATTGACTAAAGCTCAGTGTGGAATAAAGTCAGCCTTTTTATTCTTTGTTTTTTGAAAGTTGATCATTTTTATACAGGATGGATAGCTTTAGTCGCCGAGTGTATTTATAAATCGATCATTTTGCAGCATATATCAGGATTAATAGAATGTGAAAGGCATCATTAAAAAAGACCATAATAGAGTTAACATTCATTAGAATGACCTCTTTTGTTCTACAGAAAACAAATATAAAGAGTGATCACCTGATGTAGGTCAGGACTTTTTTATGATGTTTTAATGAAATGATCCCTATAACTAGCAGATGTCAAATATGTAGTTATTCTTGCTGCTGTGGATAAACTAGCATGTTTTGGGATAACAGTCTTACTACTAATAGTATTGCCAAGCTGGTATAGTGGTTAGTGATGCTGATTGTTATGGTTTGAATCTCGGAGAGGGTATTGTTGTTTGTAAGCATAATAGTGTCTATGTGGTAAGGATGCTCTCAAAACATACACCGAACTGAAAGTCCTTTCCAGAGATTGATGGTTGGGAAAGAGCAATAGGAGACTCTCAGACATTCCCTTGGGTTGTTCTCTCTCAAAATTGAGGCAAAAGCTTAAGAGGTTCAACAGTATGTCATTCACCTGTGGTTATGGAGATGATGGCCTAACTTCTGCTTGTACTGCTGATAGTTAATACGTAATTTGAAAATAACTTATGGCCTGTTTTTATCTAAAATTATGATTTTTAGATAAATTATGTTTAGCAAAATATGGGTTCATAAAAAGTGTATCAGAAAAAAAGGGGATGGGCAGTAAACAAATTTTGCTTTCTTAGCAAATTATTATAGTATTATTTCTTATATAATTAATTATATATCATACTTCATCTGAAAGGAGGGAAAAAAGGATTTGATTAGTTTTGTTTGATTATGGCAAAGCTTACTAGTATTAGGTTTCAAAGAGTATGCTTGTTGAGAGGGTTGATGCCATCCTCATTCACTGCATGCCTGAACCTTTGTCAATAAACTTGTTACAGCTGACCATTTCATAATTCTAGTTTAGCTAGAATGTATGCAAAATCTGTGCCAAAGATGTGGCCACACCGGGTGCTGAAACTTTTAGAATTTAGAGAAATACTGAACAGCAAAATTTAGGGATGGGAAAATTTTTAGATTTCAAGGGAGGCAATGAACAAGAGAATTTAGGGGCTGCAAACTTTTTAGAATTTAACAAGGAACCAAGCAGAAGAATATAAGACTTGCAGAGATTGTACCATGTGGCAAAATGCCTTGAATATATATGGCATGAAATTTACTGTTCCTTTGATATACATTGACTTATTTATGATTATATATAGAATATGTTATATGCAAACTTTCACATTTTTTTAATTAGTTGAAATTTGTACTGTATGAAATAATGATTCTGGAATTAAGCAAAATCCTGTATAATAACAAGAAAAACTATATTGAACTTTAAAATCAACATCAGCGTATAAATCTTGTAAATGAGTTTATCCCCTCCTTTTCTGTTACTACTTTATTTCTTTTTAAATTATGAACTTATATTAACTATTAATGTACTAGCTTTGGATGTTGGGGTATTTTCTTTAGACGTTTTGCATTGTCATGAAAATAAATTGAGTAACATAATTATGTTCAAGTTATCATAAACTCTCATTAAATTTTTCTACCTGTAATAACATTAGTAGCTGTAAATTAAATAATTTAGAAAATAATACTTGAATATTTAGAAAATAATACATTAAATTCATAATTTCAAACAAATTCCTGTAGTTTAAGTTACATTTGGGGAAAAAGGTTCTTGAATGTTTGAAGAGTATTTTTTCCCATTGTGGGTATTTGATGTCATATTTGTACTAAAATTATGAAAAGTTAATTTTTCTATTTATGAAGCATCTTAATTATGTAACCTATATACACATTTGGTAGTTAATCATCATTCTTTTATATAGTAAGGTAAAATTTTCAAGAATTGAAATCTGAAAACTTTTTAAAATTATCTTTATGTTTTTGTTTTCACTTGTTGTGCAGAATTAAGACTGAGTAATTGTAGTGGTGTGGCCTCATGATGCATCTTTAGAGCATATATATAAATCAATATTTCGTTAGTAAATGTATATATATATATATATCTGCGTATGCTGTTTGTAAAGTTATTTTGTCTATTTCAAAAGAAAATGAGGCATATAATTCTTGAATGATTTGTCATAACTGAATAACTTAATCTAACCTAAATGTTACCAGACAGTTCAGTATGTTAAATATTACATGTGTTTAATACTTTTATAAAGCAGGATTATTTAACCGTTTGAGCAGAACAGTTTTTTTTAATCTGTTTTGAAGACATGTATTCAAATAGTATTTATTAGCTAAATTTGCATAATTATTTATTCTATTCTATAGTCTAGTTTCAATTATCACAAACTTATATTCATCAAGATAACATTTATATTACTCAAGGAGGTAAGACAGCAAAATATCATAAATCATAAGCTAATATATACCAAGTTACAAAAGCCGGTCATGCCACTCAGAGGGTTAAACATCTTTTTGATGGATTAGATGTAACTATTTACTATGATGAGTGAAATTTATTGGTCATGTACAAATTGATAATTTATTGACAAATTCAAATTACAGTAAAGAGTTCACATTAATCATATAATTCTTAAATATCTAAATTTCATACATGGCCAGAATTATCTTTGCATGCCCCCCCAAATAATATTTTAGGAAATATCCAATCAATGTAATCCATTTTAGCAGTGAATGTGTGAAAGTCGAGTCTAATTAGTGTTATCCAATTAAAATTGATCAAATGGTTTCTGATACACTAATCAAAGTATTACTTCATCTGTTAGTGAATCAAGCACTTTGCATAATGTGAATTGAATTCTGTAATAAAGCTTTTGATTTCAGAGTGTAAGGAATCAAAATGTTTTGTTATGGCTCTGAAGTATTATTTGGAAGAATCTGTGAAGTAGCAAAATATCGACCATTTAGAACTAGAGCAGACAATAGCAGTGAGGTGTGTGAATGTTTCAGGACTGATAATCTCTATACTATGGAAACAATTTTGGAACTCTGGAATTATAAGGAGCCCTAAACAAGGTCATAAACAAATAATAACTACTTCTCAAGATCGATATCTGGCCATAACTGTCCATCACAACAGCAAGGTTACTGTTGAGCAGTTAGATTTAGAGGTTTTATTCACCACTGGAACTGTCATATTGTGACAAACTGTGTACTATGTGTATTTATGGCATAAATGCCTTTTTATTAAGACTTTATGATTTAAAGAAAGTGGACTGCATTTTTCAGGTCTGTTGTAAACATGTTGTAATAATATTATCCAATTACCCACTAAGATCTAAAAAATAACCAGATTTTATCTATAAATATCTTCATTCATGTAAAAGCGTTATTAAGGTTACTCTTTTCACTCATCATCTAAAAATTAATTATTTAACAACTTTTTTAACCGTGCATTAAAAAATTCCAGACATTTTTCTATCCAGAGCAATGTTCTGGACATAATTAGGAATCCAGCCATGTCCATGCTAATCCCCAACATAAAATAATCCTAAATATATACTGTCTAAAAGTCTATTCAAATGGGCTTTTAGTGCTTTAGTTACCCATGGCAAAGGTAAATGCCAGTACCATCTTAAGTTGAAAAATGATTTGAGAAATTTTTTGTAAGTGACACTATGTCATTTGAAGACTGGCTTTTGATTCAGGCAAAAAAGTGTTGGATTTCCTAAACTAAAGATACATGCTGTAATGATTAGGGTATGGTATATGCATCGGTATTAGGTTGATATGCTTCATTGATTTTATATTCATCATTTCTTTTATATTGAAAGTGAACTAATATATAAATATATCATTTCTATATACATTTTAGAGAGCATAGTTCATGGATTCTATATTTTTGCTGTGATAGGCTCGTTATTTCTTAAGATACATTCTGTGCATCCATTCTGTTTAAATATTTTCCATTGATAAAGGCATGTATAGTATTATATATTGTATTTATTATGTGTTGGTTGTATTAAGAAGAGTACTAAACATTTTAAAATTTTATTTATCAATATATTTATTTTTGCTCATAAATTTACATTTTCATAAATGTGTGGCAGTTAAAATCCGTTCTGGGGATTGGAAGATCAACATTAACAATGCCTGAAGAAGTCCGAGAATTTCATATTGCTGTGATGCGAAATGATATTGCAAAAGTACAGGAGCTTGTAGATGCTGGAATTGATGTTAACTATCCCTGGATGAATGCAGAATCTCCAAGTATTAAAGATGGTAGTACTCCACTATGTGAAGCTGTATCCTTGAACCATCACTCAATTGTGCAGGTATGGTTTTGAAAGTGCAGAATCTGGATCTAGTACTGTAACTGCGACATAATCATCAGTATTACATGTTCGATTTTCTTTAAAATAATAATAATAATAATAAATTATTTACAGTTAGCTTTTTTAGTAAATTAATTAAAAAAATATTGAAGCAATATTTCTGTATCCAGTCAAAAGTGGTTAATCCGGACTCGTCGGGACTTCAGCGATTCCGGATTATAGATCATCAGTTTAAATCTGGTAAGATAGCATGCAGAAATTACAAAATTAAAAATATGAAACCGTAATTTATGAAATAAAGAACAATTATGATCTAAAGGGTATCAAAATTTACAAAAAGAAAAAAGCTTAATATTTATTTGTTTACTTTATGAAACATTTCTTTCAATGTAAAATGTTTCAGTTGCTCTGTTTTTTGTGTAATGCTTTCTCTTTAATTCTATATAAACAGACATAATTTCTTGTTTAGTTACAAAGTTCCACTATTCAAGTCCTATAATTGCTGTGTCGAGAATACCAACTAATTTGTCAATTGAAATTTTTTCGTTTTCAATAACCTCTGTGTCACTTTCTTCACTATCGGAAGCGAATTATAATGACGAGGAACTTGATTTAAATCATATCAGAGTACATCGGGATGAAATACTACATTTAGTAAGGAATTAACAGCCAAATGAAATAAAAACATCTGCCCTGAAGATAAGGAAAGTGCTGACAGATCAACTTCCAATTCATTGTGCGCCGCGGCGTTCTCTCCTGCAGAGCAGCGTGAAATTGATAAACAGATTTTGAAACATACTTTCGCTTTGTAGATCCTTTACATATTAGTAAATATATATCGGAAATTCTATTTGACATAATCGAAAGTTCAAGCTTACTTTTATAAAATTGCTCTAACAGTCTGCAAAAAATAATAAGCCGGATCCAATTCGAAGATTAAGGAACAACACAATCTGCAACATTAACTGAATTAGATAATTTTAGCTTAACTTATACCGTCCGTTATACATTAAACGCGCATGCGTAACTATTATGCGCATGCGCAAATGCATATTCGCAGCGACGCATGCGCAGACAGTTTGTAGCTTTGAGGTCCGGATTATAGATCATTCCGGATTATGGGTGTCCGAATTAACGACTTTTGACTGTAATAGTTTTTGATTTTCTGACTTAATTTTTATTTTTCTCCTTGAATATTAACTTTTTATTATGCTAGAACAATTAATAACTCATAATTTTGTAACTGTTAATTTCTGATGACAGTTAATGAAATTGGTATTCTTAATCGTGTGCATTTAATGTTTTCAATGCAAATATTAACTTTCTCATGTTTTAAATCATAACCTTTTTTTTTTAAAATTTAGTATGATCAAATTCTGGGGTGTTAGTTTCTATATGAATATTCACAAATATACCACAGGATATTTTATTATATTTTAAAAGTATTTCAACAACACTAAAATTTTATTTTATGCATATTTGATTTCAAACAAGAATTTCTCTTCATTTAAAAAATGAATATAATAAATATGTTAAATTTATATGACATATGCTAGGATTTTTCCCAGTGGTTGTTGTAATTGATGTTGTTCTGCAAATAATTATTTTCCAGGATATTATACCATTAAATTTTTAAATAATCAAGGAATTAAATTATTGTAATTTATATCCTGAGATTTTTTTTTATAAGTACATGATTAAATTAAAATTCTCCTAGCCTAAAAAGTGTTAAGTCATTTTAACCTTTCGAGGTTCGGTGCATAAAAAAATTTTTTTTTTGGAAAAAATAACTTTACACATAGATAATTAGCACACAAGACAATGTTATTTCATGCCAAAAAAAAAAAACAGGTAAACCTTTAAGGTAATTCATGGCGTGGTGGGATACCGCTTGTCCCACCGTGCATCTAGAGCAGTAAAATGGCATCTTTGCCTCAGTGTAAATTCTCCTAACATGCTTATCTAAAGTGCTAGTTTTAGCAACCAAATGAAAATGCAAGATATGAAAAACGTTTTTGAATAATTATCTAGAAAATATTGATCATATTCACAAAATAAGAGATATTTTTTTCAAAAAAAATTGCTCTTTGTACAACTTTTTAGATATTTTTTAATGATTTCATAATACATTTGAAACAGAGAAGATTTTTGCTCCTGTACTTTATTTGCTGCAGGTTTGAAAAGGAAGATATTTAGAAGGCCGTCATGTTTATTTACATTTCACCTCTCTTTCCTCTGCTTAGGATATTTTTCTATGGTGAATCACACTCACATTTCCATTCAGTATTCAATGACATTTCATGTTACAGATTTATATTTTCATTTCTTTCAGAAAAAATATTAAATATTTTTCAAGTTTTAGCATTATTGCAATTTATTAAAAACTATAAATTTACATTATCAACATATAAAATGAACATGATACTTGAATTAAAAAATATTTGAATGGTGCTGCCATCTAGTAGCAGCAATTCCTACATGCGCGGTGGGACGTATTTGGTCCTACCTTTTAATTTCAACCATTCTTAATTAATATATATGAATTCAAATAGTAATTTTATTAGAAAAGGAAACTTTCACATAAAAATATTCATTCTGACACCAAAAGTTGTTCAGACAATTTAAATTGCATTAAAAATTAAGAAAAAAAATGTTTCAAAATTAAACCTGTAAAGAATTTTTATTTTACATTATTTCCATTAATGAATACTAGTACTGCCATATGTTATACACTTAGAGAACTAAAAGGTGTAATTGTATGTATTTTAAATGGAATTTTGCAGCTTTCATTTGGGAGATAAAAACTGATAAAAAAAGGAGGGACGCCTCGTCAAAGGATTAAAATGCTTTTTTTTTTTCATTATTTTTCATTATGAACTGGCTTACCAGTGATTAGGTGGTTAAAATTGCATAAGTCTAGTAATTTGAACCAGGCTCAAATCTCAGTAAATGGCAAGCTACATGGGTGTGTGTTATACTTTTCTTCATGGGAAATATAGGGTGTTTGATATTGAATAGGACAAAAAGAATAGTACAGTACAAATTGTATAATTCCTTTATTATGCTGAAACAAATTAATTCAGAAGCAAGAGCAAAACACTTTGCAGCAAGAGCGAAACACTTTGCAGCTACGAGATCACCATTAGAGGCTCTGCTAATCAAAATGGTGCTATCCATGCTGGAGAAAGCATCTGCATTTTGGAATACACCAAAACTTTATTGTTTATTGTCATTCAAAGATATTTTCACACAAAATTTGATAAAGCATCATCACAGTGTCGAATGGTGGGTAAGGCAGTTTCAGGACATGGGCTGCTTGTGTGAGAAAACGAGCCTGTAGGATGAACAGCAGTTCGAAACAAAGTGGTTGAAAAAATTCGTGAAGTGTTTCTACCAAGTCCCACAAAATCGACATCTTGTGTGATTTCTGAACTCAATGTGCCTCATGTAATGGCGCGGAGTGTGTTCCAAAAGCATCTACAGTTCTAGCCATACACCTTTCAGACACACACAGACATATGAGATTTTTAATCTTCTAAGTTGGAAAAAAACTGACTTGAATGAAAATAAACAGTTGTTTTACTTAAATCAGTCTTAATTTTTTCTAAAATAGAAATGAGCCTGAGATTGTTTTTGAAGATTCATATTACTCATTTTTTAATACTTCAGAGATTCCAATGTAGTATGTAGCCTGAGAAGCTTTATTTTATATCCTTTTATATTAGAAATAATTTTTGTTTGCGTATTTCTAATTATTTCTATGGAGCCATACTGAAGACAAAATATGGCATTAGCTTCCAGTGAAAGAGAGACAGGAAGCAAAATTAGAATTGTAGTAAATTAATTAGCAGTTACCCAAAAACATTCATGCCATAGTTTTAAGTTATAAGTAACATCCTAGTAATTTCATTCAAATGCATTTTATTCAGGAAAATAATCTTTTTTTGCTTCATTTATATGTTATCAGTGAGTTATAAGCTTATTAATCTTGTGTTTGTAAAAGTTCTTGCTCCTAGAGGCAAAAAATTTTAATTTTGCCAATCGAATATGTTGGTTATCTCCTTGGTCATTCTGTTGTAGATCTAGCTTTCTCTTGAAAAATTATTACTGCTTTCCTGTTGACTAGTGCTGTTTGCTTCTGATGGAGTTCAGTTGCAACCATTTGCAAGTGTGATGAGTACACCTCAGCAGTTATTGTTTTGCCACTCTCTAGCAATTCATTATTCAAGCACTGATAATGTGACAATTCATTCCAGCAAGTGCACATTACCAGTGCTGGTGCACCAAACACAGAGCAGTACCTAATGTTGATGAATGTTTTGTTTGGGAGCAAATGTCACAGAACCAGGGGATGGCCAATAATGTCTTCTTTTGCCTTTACAGTGAAACACCCATTTCTTGTCAAATCTCAATATGTGGTTCAAGAATGGGGCTTTCTTGTGGTGTAACAGCAGTGAAGAGTGAATGGTGAGCTGTTGGAGTTTGGTTTCTTTGGGGATCGAAACATGAGGGACCCACTTACTGAGCTTTCATGCCTTCCCAAAGTTGTGCTGATACAGTCGAGTGGTTTCCTCTGACACTCCAAACCCAGATTATGCTTGATGTCCTCCTTTAGCAGGGTTTTGATGTTAGTGCATGCATGCCCAGTTTGAGACCTGGAGGTGGAGGAGAGCCTACAGGTCTTTTTGTCCTTTAAGCTCTCATCTCCCAAAGCAAATCAACTGAACAACTTTTGTGTTAATCTTCACTCACTTAAGCCTCTTCAAATGTGCAGCATATTTCCTGAGCAGATTCCTGAGATTAATGTGAAATGTGTTAATCTTTTTCCTCTGTAATCAGCACAAGAAAGCAAAAGTTTGTTCACAAAAGAAGATATATGACTAACTAGAGTAGGAAAGATACAGGCTTTTCCCTGTAATCTTAAATTATTTAAATATCTCATAGTGAGAAAATCTAAGTCCCATAGCCAATCTTCATTTTTAAGTAGCAAGCATTCACTG